TTCCTTCCTTCCTTCCTTCCTTCCTTCCTTCCTTCCTTCCTTCCTTCCTTCCTTCCACAGAAAAACCTTCACCTGGTGCCAAAATAATGCCACTGTGGGTGCCAATTGAGGGACTCTGGGGAGGGCATTGTATAAAAGAGGGGCCACCACCCAAAAGGCAAAATAAAGGGGGGGGCTTGGGGCTCTCTATGTCCCCTCAGAGACCCTGTTCTGATTAAAGAAGCCCCTCAAAAAGCCCTTGAAGAAAGGGCAAAGGTGTATGAGATGTTCTCCACCCACCAGATTTCCCTCCTCCCCTCCTGCCCTAAGTTGGCCTGAGACTACGAATGACTCTTTCTATCCACCTTTTGCCTTCAGGCACCTCGAACTGGAAGATTTCTATTCAGCAAATGATCTTATTGCACATTTTGTATATTCCATATTCTACATCTACAAGATAGCCTTCTGTGTCTCCCTTGTACGGACTGACCCAGGCTGCCTCTTCTCCATGACTTTTGGCCAGTTTTAGAGCTTTTCCTGATCCATTTCCTGATTGGCTGGCTGGGAAGGCGGCAGTCCAGGCAGTTCTTCCTCTGCCGGATATTCGTATTAAAAGTGACCGAAAAGAGTTTAATTTCTTCCCCTTGTTCCCCTTTATCTCTGAGACATCCCATCCGTTGCAGCATTAGATTTGGGCTTTTATCTGTTTCTCTCATTCCAAGTTTGCTCTCTCTGGTCCCATAACATCTTTCCTTCTTCCTAGTTATTTAAAAGCATTTCCCCCCTTTAATAAGCTGGTTGGATCAAGAATAATTGATCGGGAATCCGTCCCATGGATGTTTCTTTCTCTCCCGGATTTTTCAATATCTTTTCCTTTAACGGGGGGGGAGGGGAACGGTGGCTCACGAAAGCTGGGAGTTGAAGACAATCAGTCAATCAATCAATCAGACTAGTGCTGGAAGGGGCCTTGGAGGTCTTCTAGTCTAGCCCCCTCCTCAAACAGGGGACCCCACTTGAAATCCACAAGTCATATAAAGGGGCCACTCTTCCCCACCTCTCCTTTTGCAGAATGTTTGGATCAATAATTGATGGGGTGGGGCATCTCTCCAGTTTATAAAAATTTTCTTTTCTCTCTTTAACAGGATGCTGGGGTCAATTGCAATAGATCGGGATTCGTCTGAAGGATTTGCTTCTCTCCGGTTTTTTAAACAATTTTCCCTTTAACGGGCTGGTTGGGCCAGTAATAATGGATCGGGGTCCGTCCCGCGAATTTTTCCTCCTCTCCAATTTGTTCTTTTTAAAACACTGCAGTTCTTCTTTAAGAAGCCAGCGAAGACGACCGCAAGAGCAACAACTATTCACTTCGGTTTCCAGCCTGGGCGGAGTCCAAAGGGCGTCACCTGATTTGGAGGAAAAAGAAGCGAAACTAAACTTTCTCTTCCCTTTTGGAGGCGGCGATGGCGTCCGGAGCGTCTTGGGAGGGTTTCCTGGAAGAAGCCACCTGCTCCATTTGCCTGGACTATTTCCAGGACCCCGTGCTCATCCCGGAGTGCGGCCACAACTTCTGCCGGGGCTGCCTGACCCGCAGTTGGGGGACGTCGGAATCGGAGGCTTCCTGTCCCCAGTGCAGACAGACCTTCGCGCCCCGCAGCGTCCTCCCCATCCGGCAGCTGGCGCGGGTGGCTTAAGTGGCCAGGGGATGCAGCCGCCATCAGGGCGAGGAAGGAGGGAGCTTCTGCCCGAAGCACCGGGAGCCCCTCAAGCTCTTTTGTAAGGACCACGAGACCCTCATCTGCTTGGTCTGCGACCGATCCAAAGAGCACAAGGGCCACTCGGTGATCCCTGCGGAGGAGGCTTTCCAGGAATACCAGGTAGGAATCAGCCAGGAGAAAGCGTTGTGGAGGGCCGTCCAGATCCTTGGCTTTCCTGGCAATCCTTAGATCACTTTACTTGCTTCCTCTGTTGTCCGCAAAATGGGTTTAGCCTTCAGCAGATCCCAATCAGAACCAGACAGGAGATTCAAAGAACTTTAATTGAACTACTTCAGCAAAAGGATCCCAGCAGCTAATAAAAGCTAAGACCTCTAACCATTTACAAATACAGATTTTACACATTTAAGATCAAGGAAGTTAACAAGGAAAAAGTCACTCATTGGTTCCCTGACATGAGTTTCTTTTCTCCTCCTAATTCATGAATTGCATATTTTATACTAATAAGCTTTCTTATCAAAAAGGGTGTGTGTTTTATTATTATAGTAAGTTACCAAAGTGTATGTCTATGTGCCTTAGCTAGCATCCTTCTAACTGGAGTCCTTCTAACTTCCTGGTCTTTTTTTTTTTTTTTTTAACAGACTTTATTCAGTTTTCATATTAAAAAC